GACTGCTAGCACAGCTGCCCAGTCGCAAGCACTGAATACGTGTTTACGTTAGTATTGTAGTTAGTTAGTAACACAGGATCGAAGTGCACATGCGTTTTTTGGCTTACATTCACAATGAAGTCTTTACCATAACATTTCCTCCAAGGAACAGTCAAGTGTTGTAGTTGGCAGGCTTTTATATGACCGTGTGAAATTGAAAATACATTTGCAACACAAAAAATACTGTTTTGATGTCAAGCACTGTTATTTGACAGCTATAATTACCACTTATTTTGTCAATTTTTCATACGAAACTATGGAGGATAATTTTACGCAGAAAATACAATATACCAAAAAGTGTTTAATCAGCCTGTTAAATAGCTGGTCCTAATCCTAATTGAACTCTTAGTATGTATTAAAGTCAGGCGCAGTGGAAGGGTCAATTGGTTTTGCGTGTACCTATTTAAAATCTATGCAGGTCCTTAATTAGAGCTATCAAGACCACAATTAGATCTCAGTCATTTCTAATAAAATGAAAAGTGTATAAAATTATGTTCATTTTACTGACACTCACTGTTTTGTCATTTTAAAGTATTTAAAATGGCATTACAACTAGATTGCTCACGATTGAGACGGGGTGTGCAATAACTTCTGACTGTTACACCATTTCAAATGACAGAAAAAGATCATTTCTGCTGTGAAACGGGAATTTATAGACTAATTTAGTTACTTGTCCTTCATGCCTATAGATGGATGAGGCAGAGAAAAGGCAGCCTCCTCCACTGTTGGCCCATTATGTAGTCTTATACTTAGAAAATTATCATCTTCATGCCTAATGGCGTATAAGGACAGACAAGCCTCCTCCACTGTTGGCGATCTGTGGTTGACTTGGCAACATGACCGCAACTCATCATCATCCCTGCTTTTCAGCTTTTCACAGTCATAGCATCCCATGTCTGTTTTCTCTCTCTTTTTTTTTTTTTAAATTCATGATGATTTTTGGACTCAATACTGACATTTCGTTTGAAATTTTGACATCTTGGGACACTGCAGGTCGAAGATTGAGGCAGATCTGTTGAATGTGCCCCCCAGTTTAATTCAAAGTGTGAGTATATCCCTGTACTCATGCCTTGTGGCGTATGTATGTGAAACCAGACTCCTCCAGTGCTGGCAGTCCACAGCCTGCTTGGCATCCTGACCACCACAGCACATCATCCCTCTCTCAGCTTCTACAGCTCTTCTCCAAGCCATTTTTTTTAGGTTATTTGCCATTTGTGTTTATTCTTTGCCTTGAAGGCAACTTCAGTTTAAACTAACTTACTTAATAGATTTTTTGATTATGCATAAAGGCCAAAAAAAAAGGATCTACGTAATTTTACCCCCTAGCTCGTGTCTGTGCTGCTACTTTATATTCCAGCCAGCAGGAAACGATACTTTTACCCATCAGTACGTTTTGCTTGTTAGGGGCTGTAGGACTCTCTGCAAGGTGATCATTGAAAGAATATGGCCGGAACCCTCGTTAAAGGAATACATTGACATTCACACATTTAACAGCAGAATATCTCACCAACGGTGGAGAAATGGCTTCGATGTTCCAGCACAAAATAGTGAAATGGCATGTTGACATTGTTGCATTTGTCATTGGACCCTTCAGCCGTCTCGAACTGCATGCTAGCTTATTATCTTATAGCTTTTAGCACCAATTGGTTGGACAAATTCTAAACATTTTTCCCCAATAATGTGACATATATTTGGCTAAGGAAAAGGACCGCGCTGAAATTCCAAATGTCAAAATGTCCCTTAAAATGTGTTTTAGTGAGAATGACAAGGAGGCTTTCATTCAGTTTTCTCCCAGACTCTCATCTCTTTCCCTCTGTTCATATTCAGTGGCTTCTGCTGCACCCAAACTCAAAACCAAGCTTAATAGTCGACAAGGTATTATGCCCCTTTTCATTAAATTAGTTATCCAGCTTCTGTTTCTTACCCATCCGTTTGCCAGATGTTTTTTAATGCATCATCGTCAACTCTCTTGCCACCTGCTAAACTTTTTTCCTGCCAAAACATTGTGCGAGCCGGGCATTGAGTGGCTGTCCTTTCTTGTGAGGTTATTGATGAGTTGCTAATGAAAGGCCTATTAAAGGCGAGTATATTGATCCACTGAGGGTCCGATGACAGTATCATTGCAACAGGGACACAATTGAAAAAGACGTGCACTGCCAAGAGGCTGAAGAGCGAGGATGGAATGATCATCTTAGATACTGCTCCCTCGGTCTCGCTGTTTATTTTTTCAGTTAATATCTGTGTTACATTTCTCCCTGTCCCTCTTCTTAATCTCACATTTGAATGCATACGGCTGTCACTGTGCATGAAGTGAGTAACTGAGTCAATATCAATCCAGTTTGCAATGATTTATGCTAGCTTGATTCCTGTCCGTGCCATAATTTGTCATGGCCTTTCGTGCTCTGGAGGACCTCCTGCTTTTAAACCGTGCCCCCATTAGCCACCAACAGATCAATTGACTGGGAATGCATGAACAAACTAGCGATTGGGGTGAGCTTTGTCCTAACTGAGTGAAATTTTATCCACTGTGCATCAGTAATATGCTGTCCAGCCATTGTCTGCAATATTTATGGAGTTGAATTCATTGTTCAATTCATGGGCTGTAAGCAGGGAAATAGTGGAGAGAAACAGGAGAGAAATAGTCAACACAGTAACAGAATCTGGATCCATATCTGATCAGCACTGCAGAGTTTGACAGTTTGATTTGAGTTTGGTGCGTTGAGCTGGACGGACTCCCTCAGAATGACCTGTCTATCACAAGATAGCCACGCCCTAAAGCATACCCTGCTTTATCGTCTGTTTTATCCTTAATGTTGATAAATTAAGTGAGAAGACGGATCATGTTCCCCTGACAGTAAATGCATGCAGTCTTCCTTTTTAAAACCAGTGTTGCTTGCCTTAAGAAAGAATGCAAGTTTAAAACACTTCTTCAATGGCCTCACTTCTCAGACCCAAATGCTCTGTCCACTAATTATATCAACCTAAAAACTTGTGTTTATGCTATTTAAAACACTTCTGATTGTAGAGGAAAAGCTAATTCCCCTAATTCAATGTAGCACATTTGTTGAACATAATTTTATTAGAAGTTGCCATGACTCAAAAATATTGAGGCAAACCGTTCCCTTGTACTTCCCTTCCTTTCACAAAAACATAAAAACTGAAAAAGTCCATAAGAGCCAGGTGAATATTAAGCATACAAGTGTTGTCTTGTTGTGCATAGAAGGAATAGCTGTAACAGCAAAAAGATTGTTTATCCTCACTGTGAGATCACATTAGTCACAGTAGAGCACAAGATGCACACCTTTACACTTCCCTTGGACCGCCTCCCTTTATAGTTTCCATTGTTATTGGACTACAACAACCAGTTTCTTTCAGGCCATGCCCATATCCAGTGTCCAACCTTAAGGGAGGAGCTGTGAGCTTCACTGTATGACTCACTCTTCACACCTTTACAATGAATGCTATTTCAGAGCCAGATTGCTGTGATGTTGTTATATGTAGTAATTTGTCAAACCTGCTTATGTCCACAAATATAGACTCAACTGAATGCCAGGAACAAAACAAAACAAAACAAAAATGTTTTAAACATTACTTTTCTTTAAAGAAGTTTTAAAAATATACGTGTAACCGAAAAGCCAGTGCTATATGGAACAGATGTTAATATTATTAATCTATTAACACTGTAACTACCTATCCAGCCCTTTCAGAGAGACACCAGGACTTTGTGGCGAAAGGAAATGTGTTTAAATACTGAATGACATTACACTTCAATAAAACAGTCAGTTTATGTGCAGGAGTTAAATTTTAGCCTATAAGCAACCCCTGCCAGATGAAAACCCTGTGTGTCCAAAAAGCAAAATTTCTCAAAAGTTAGTGAAGAGACATGTTCTTTTAATTTAAAAAAAGGCAAGTTCAACATGTCTAAGAACATGGTTTGACATTTTGTGTACGTGGTTGGCATTAACGTTCCTCATTGCAGCTGACTCGGCAGGTTGAAACACTAAAACAGTACTTTTGTGTCAAGGTTTAATACCTTTAACAGGCATCATCAGAATTCAAGATGTCATAAAATGTGCCACAGCAGAAACCCCCATTAGTATTCATTCAGCTGCTAGATTGATCTCAATTACAACTTAGATGTATACAAATTCATCAACATAATTTAAAAGTATTTCTAAGATATGTTAATCAAATATCTACCACTCTAACACCATAATAATAATAATAGTAATAATAATAATAATAATAATAATAATAATGTAGTAACAAATTCAACTGAATGCTACTGCTTACAGGGGAAAATCAGGCAACACTTTAATTCCCCCTTTAGCCTTATATGCACACACTCAACATTTACACACTATGTTACACTCTATAATGTTTTATAATGTTAAGTTTTTAAATTGTGCTCAATTTTGACTTTCAGTTGACTAGTGTAAATTTAAATATCTGTTTAATCGACATAGAAATTAGTCGCCAAAAATCCCTAGTCTCCCAGCCTCCCATTTGAGTGACACAGGAGGAGTTTTAGTTGTTGATTTGATAAATGGTTTAAAATGTCATTAGATGTATTTAGTTCAGTACAGTTCACAGAATGGTGTGTCCTTTCCAAAGTTCCAGAAGGATTATCTAACAGTTAAAGGTGTTTGATTTGAGAAAACAAACATGGATAAGTATTAACCCAAAAAATAAACTAATTAAAGCTCAATGGAATTTTACTTCATTCCCACAATGAATAAACAATATCACTGGACTGCCTTATATTAGCTGTGTGTATGTGTGTGTGTCTGACTACACTTTCTAAAACCTAACCACTGTGAATTACAGCATGGAAACAGACACCAGTGCCAATCACAAACACACACACACACGCAGGCAACACACTGCCAAACAGGTTGGATGAGTGCAGGTAAGAGAGGAGGAAGGGCTATGCTAATGCCAGTACACACACACACACACACACACACACACACACAGGGAGAGAGAGACGCTAGCTTTCAGGCAAACTAAAACACAGCCAGGGCAGGCTAACAGGTGTAAAGGTGAGTGCAGAGGGCAGACAGTTACTGTAGACAGGTGAGCAGTCAGAAAGGTGTAGGTGAGCAGTCATACAAGTAACCAAGCAGTGTGTTTTGTGGGCAGTGTCAGCTCTCCCTGTCTGCTGTAGAAGAGAAACACTGGCAGCAGCTGCATAGAAAAGAAGCTCTCAGAACGGCCTTTATCCTCTACTGCCCCCTCTTCAGACACACACACAGACTGAGGCAACTACTGGGGCATTCAACCAGCTCAGCTCTTTCCAAGGTAAATATATAGATTTAGTTTGCTTACAGCTCAAGCACTTGCACTGTTGCACTGGATCTGTGAATGTGTATGCATGCCCTTGTTTTCTTTCTAAATTGAGATAATTAGTTGTTTTCTTCCATCCATCTCTGGCTGTGTTTACATGCTGCTGGTCAGTCTCTGGTTACAGAGTCATTCAGGTTAATCAGTTTACACGAACCTCTGCTGCTATGAGACTGAGTCCAGTAAACAAGTCAACAAAACTGTCCTCCTTTTAGAATGCAAATCAAATACACATGAGGGGAATATAGTGATGCATGCTGTCTTGTTTGACATGATCTACCCATAATGCAGCACGTGTTCAATGGTGGAAAGCAAAAGTGAAAGTAGCCACAAAAACCGTCTCACAGTTAGAGGTAAGCGGGAAATTGCAGTACAGTGTCATTTGGTTCCCGAGTAACCAAGTGATGGGAGCCGATAATGAGTGTGTAGGTGCACCGGTTACCATGCAACACACCACACCAGGCCAGCCCCGTGACTATGTGTATTTGTATGCCGTCCTCTGGAGGATCCTCCTCCAGTAACATTCAGTAACAGAGGACCAGAGGGGGGAGTAAAAGGACCTGCAGTACAATGTTGCCTACCTGCTGTGGTTTTGTCTTACCGTGTTCTGCATGTGTCAGGGGGTAGTGCGTACACACACATGTACACACACAGAGACGGGGGTTGGTATTTAACAGGTGTTGAGGCTGCAGGCATCTGGTGGCACTGTATCAGAGAGGGGGGAGGGGAGAGGGAGGGAGAGAATTTTAAATCTAAAACATTACTCATCCATTTAAATAAAATGAGCACAGAGGATAGCAACGCCAAAGAAATGAACACCAAAAGCAACCGTAATGAGAATGGTAGGATGCTTAGTAGTGGATTGTTCAAGGTACTTGTATCATGTTATACTACTTTTTCACCACTTTATTGTACTTTCAAAACATGATCACATAAAAATATTATGCATTGTTTTAGATTACACTACCCATCAAGCAGTTTAAGTTGTTCTTACATATTCCTGCCACTAGGGGGGTCGCTCACATCAAAACAAAAACATAAAATGAAGTTGTGAAGTAGCAAGTTGTTATCTTCATTGTTAAACAACCTAATCTTGTGAGGAAGAAATTCCATCTTGTCAGGCTTTAATCTAAGTGTTTGTGGCCAAACTACGTGGAATCGGAACAATCAGAGTCCTTTGAGAAGGTACATGCAGCTATTGGGGCTGGGCCGTTTACCTGGAAGTTATAGCAAATGGAGCCTCACTCGTAAATGTTTACCTTACCTTGAATAAAATGAACATTATTGGAAATATTTAGGATGATGTAAGTAGCTTAGGTTTTGCATTTTTAGACGTTTTATTGCGGAAATATTATAGCTTTCAGTAGACAACCTCTCCTGGTAAATGCCTTTTCACGTCTTTCAAACCCCACACGTTAGCCAAGACAGCCAATATCATATACATTGTTTACATTCTTGTTCCTCCCTAGTTCCACAATCATAAGAGAATGCTCCAAGACTGATGTGTATAGCATTAGGATCAGTTGGAACCACCAATATAGGTGACCTATGCAGACTGTGAAGACTCAGTAATAGCTCAGTACAAAATGAACCCTTAATGCACAAAGCCTGTCAGAATGCTGAATGAACAACAAAAATCACATTATTGACATTTACAAAGTAAAGTAATATGCTTTACAGTTGTAAAGCATATGAAATCTCCTAGCAACCAGATAAAATCCACAGAAGAACTGGCCAAATAATCTATAGGACTACAGAAGTGGCTCTCCATTTGTGGTAGTGAATAGTTTAATAATTCTAGAGGGATTGCACTGTTGGTCCGTCTACCATTTGGTGCAGAGTGAAATACAGAATCTTAGTTATTAGATTGCCATGGCATTGATGTATAGACAGCATGAGTCATTTTCCAAACAATAGAAACTTGCCTTGAAAAAGACCAGGTATGGTTAGAATTTGATTCAGGAAAAGGAATGGACCACCATCCATCCATGGTCCTCAGAAGATGAATCCTAATGACGTTGGTGATCCGATGTCTTTTCCTCTAGCTAGCACCACAATGTCCACATTTTTGGTTTTGAGCGAAATGGTCTCGACAACTATTAGAAATGTCATTGGATCAAGACAGTGTGTCTCATGACATCATCCTCAACTGCACTTTGTGTTTATTGCTAGATTACATTTCAGCAAATATTAGCACGCTAACATCACTAAACTAAGATTGTAAATAGGGTCAAAATTATACTTGCAAAACATTGGCATGTTAGCACTGTCATTGTTAGCCTCTTGGTACTCCAGCCACTACCATAACATCACAACTAATGGAGCGATGCCTGTGAGCTAGTTCAGGCAGTCAATTTGAGCTGCACTGCTATACACACGTGACACGCCTCACTCTCCATAATCACTAACCAAGCACACCCTTCCAATCTGGTGACCTATTTAAGCTGCAAACATTTCCCAGCTCTCCCTCCCTCCAATGCTGCCCTGCCCTGCATCCGGATTGCAGTCTGTCGTACTATAAGCCCCACCTCCACCCCCAGCATCCACCGGTAGGCTCCGGTAAGGGGGTTTAAGGTATTTGCTAATCGCTCCCAAAAATCTCTATGTAAACATATCTGTGTGGAGTTAAGAGGTCGGAGCCCAGACACCAAAATCTAATTAGTTATACTGCTATAATAAACATTTCAAGTTAGTTGTCAGTTGTCTGACTGCACTGCTGCTAAAAAACTTTTGCCCTCAACTTATATCCATCAAGGGTGTGGCTGTCCTTGAGTTGTTAAACACTGAAATTACATTTGTCCATATCCATACTCATGAGGTGACATTTTGTGCTGGCAAGTTGGCTAATAAAAGAAAATGGCATTGCTGAATATATTTGTTTTTGCCTCCATTTTATATGTATTTTTCTGTGTAGAGGTGACTCGGGAGGGCATGGAAAGTTTAAAGATGGGGAGTGACTACTGTATGGTTGACCAGCGTCTGTTTCATTGTGCCGCTGGGCTCATTTACATAATTTACTCATTTGTGTAGCCATGAGGGTCAATGAGGGTCCATGTGACGTAAATCTCATCTTCTGTCTATCAGGTGTCTGCAGCCCAGAATTTAAGGGACAACTACACATTTGCAGAACACGCCCACATACACACACAATAATGACGGGTATACAAATCCACCACCAATTTGAGTACATTGGGGCTTTTAGTGAGGCACAAGCACCAGAAGGTGTCGCATTACCTGAACAGCTGGCTGCTCATTATAACAAAAAGTTGGGGAAACAAGTAAAATAAGTTTTCTTTTATTCACTCAATTCTTGTTTTTTTTACCCAACGCCGGTGAAACTTCAGTTGCTGTTATTAGAATCCAAGTTTTCCCTGTGGAACTGGTGAGTGTGAGTGTGAGTGTGAGTGTGTGTGTGTGTGTGTGTGTGTGTGTGTGTGTGTGTGTGTGTGTGTGTGTGTTTGTGTGTGTAAGGTGCATGGAAGAAATTAATTTTGAAGCTTGACCTTTTTAACCCCTTCTTTCAGTCTCTTCTGTCAGTCTTGTCTGGATATTTTCACTCAAGCTTTTTATTATTCTTTGAGTGGAAGTTAACGCACACATCATATCTTACTTTAATCTTTAACCATAAAGTTTTAAATTGTTTGTATAAAAATCATTAAATCAGTTCTTTTTATGTAATTTTCCACTTTTTCTTTTTTGTCTTTTTTTGTTGTAATTCATATACATTTTCCATCTATTACTTTCTACAAAGCACTTGATAAATGCTCCTTTTTTACAAATGGTACATTGATATTTCCAGCTTCCTGACATTGTTATGCTCCTGCTGCTCTTTGATTTTCCCCAGCCCTCTTTTCTCCCTCAGCTTTTTTCTCCTCTTAATACCATCTGACATTCCTTACCTGCAAGCAGACGCGGTATCACCTGTCGTCTATTCACTGTTTTTTTCTGCAACACGATCTGATGTGTCTCTCAAACAACAAAAGGGAAGAGAGGAAAAGAAGGGGAGGGGATGATGGAGAGGATGGGAGGCTGGTCTGTGGCATGGTATCTCAGACAGTCCAGCACTTTCTTTGTTATCTGCTCTCCATGTGGGAGAAAAGCATCCCACCTTCTTTATTATCATCAAGCAATGATAAGGACGGCCCTGACTACTCATCTCTGCACAAAGGCAAGCTGATACCTCCAGGCTGTGTGTGTGTGTGTGTGCATGCATGTCTGAGGCCATGTCTTCATGCCCGAAATCACCAGGGAATATCCTTTCCTTTTATTCTCTTTTACGAGATAATAGTGTTGGTGTGATTTTGTTGAGGTTCGGAGATATCGGCTATAGCTCACCTCGGTACAATGGAGCTCAATGGCATTTGGATGGTGGTGTACAAAGCACCAAAAAAAAAAAAGAATTAAGTCTACAAGTCTGCACCGTTTATTTCAAATATAACAACATGGTTTCTCAAGAAAAAACTGCAGCCCTTGTTCAGTTTCTTCCTCCTGTGTGGAGAGTCAGTAGGTGTACTTCCAAAGATCACAATGAGATGCCTTACAGTGAGGTTTGTATATCAGATCTCTGGGCTTTCATGAAGCAGTTATATGACATACAATGGATGAATGAACAAATGAATAAACAGAAAAGAAAATGGCTGTGTAGGATTTGTGTAGTTCTTAATAGAGAGAGAAAGAGATCTGTGGAATATTGTGAGTCGATACATTTGGAAAGAACTGTGAAAATGTTAAGGAGAATTTCAGTGCTGGATGACACACAAGTATCTTTGAGTGCATGTGCAATTCAGTGAGGGCTCATAGACACTGAACATTGTCAGTCAGTTTGTGGGATCTGGAGGAGTTAGCATTGTTGGAGGTTGTTAAGAAGCAGGCGGTGACTCCATATGTATCAAAGAAGATATATGCTCGTTTACAGCAGGCCAATACCAAAGTAACCAGACTTGGAATGAAGTTAAGGG